GAATGACACAAAATAGGGGTATGTATACACATAGGCTAGCCCACTCCAAACACAAAGGGGGGAAAACTTAATTGACTACAATTAAAAAGACCCAAAATAAATCCAAATCACCAACCATAAGAATATACGTTTCAAATAAACACTACTGAAACCCAATATTAACCTAACAAACAAAATATCCACATACTGCTGTTTAATCAGAAACTTTGTAGTTCAGAGGCCTTCTGCCCACTGCCAGGAGTTGGTTCCTTCCACTTCCTGTGGTGGAATATAAAAGGTGCTCTCAAACTCCAGCACCCCCTTTGGCAGAAGACTCGGCAGAGCCATGTGGAGAAACACAGGTATAAACAATTCTTCTCAAATGAACACTATTAACCAAAATGCATGCACTCAGATTGGAAACTAGCATCATTGTAAAAGAAATAAAAATATCTAGAAAAAATGTGTTTGTGATTCATTTACAAAGAAAAATAAATGCATTACCGCCATTTTAGGTGTTGGTGGTTGGTAGAACCGCCACAATCCATCTGGATAGGGACAGTTTCAAGGAATGGAGACCCACCAAACGAAACGAAAAGCTGTTAAGAGCGTCTGAAAGGTGCGGATCACGTAATGTAAGATCTCAGTGTAAGGCTAAGGCTAATGTAAGGCTGCCGTAAAAGTAGCGGTTGTGTGCATGTGAGCGGGTAACATTACCGACTCGTTGGCTAGGAAATCGTTGGCTTCAAGGTCGCGGCTTTAAACAGTGCTTTCTGTACGTAAGACAAACTGTCCGTGAGCTCAGAGAGGAGAGCTGCATAAATTTTATCTGCTGCCAGAGCCGGGATTCGAACACAGGTCACTGGCGTGAAAGCTTAAGGGTTTTGCTAGCCACAGGGGGAAACAATGTAAGCTTAAGTTAGTGCAAGCACATAAGAGATCATCACAGCTTCATGTCGGCGTTTGCATGTTAAATAACAGGCTCATTGCTGCAATATTGACAAATTGAGAAATGGCGGTTAGTCCGGCCTCGGCAGGACTAAAACACTCTTCTTTTTCCGCCGGTGAGATAAGTATGTGCATGGGGCGTGCCGTGGGGTAGCTTTCTCGTAGCTTTGGTGTTTGAAAGGTGCGGATCACGTAATGTAAGATCTCAGCGCCCTGACGGGCAGAGGAGGCTGTCACTGCTCCCGCTGTCGGATGCTGGCAGAGCCGACAGAGAAATAACCTGTGCTCTGAAGGGAGTGCCAATTACCTTCGGGACATAGCCATGTCTTTGTTTGAGGATGACCTTTGAGTCATTCGGGCCAAACTCAAGACACGCGGCGCTAATGGATAGCAGTGCAAGTCCCCCACACGTTTGACTGATGACAGATCCAAAAGAAAAATGGTTTTGAGCGAGAGGTATTTTAGATTCGCAGAATCTAGTGGTTTGAAGGTTTCACTGTGTGAAGTGTTTTATGCGTGAGGAAGTGTTTTATGCGTGAGGAACACCTTACCACCTAACTCGGGCTTATAGGAAAGCCACTACACCTGTGGTAACATTGAGATTGGAGGGAAAGCATACAGAGGGCGGTTGGGGCAGAATTTGGTCAGCACATCCTCGAGCAGGCTAGAATGTGTTGGGTCCTGTATGACGGGAGGAAGCACTTCAGCGCGTTCTCAACCACCAGCATCTCCAGACAGTTTATGTGAAGGCGTTTCTCTTGGTCTGACCACAGGTCAAAGACCGGGCTGCCCTCAAAAAAGCCGGCCCATGTAACTTGCGTTCACAACCTGATTTATATGAGTGCTGATATGCGTCAGATCGCTGACAGAAATAGCTGGCTGTTTTACATGAGACGACCTGGTTACTGCGAACGGGGAACGTTCTATGGATACTCTGTGATGTGCAAGCTGCGCCGGTGACAGTGTGGCTGTTAGTAAGCGTGAGCGGGCATGTTACTTATACTCATAACCTGATTTATATGAGGCTGATCTGGCTGTATGACAGAGCGGCATACATCTAGCACTCGAGCAGCATCTACCAGCTTTATGAGAGTGGGTCTGTGGTCCTCAGAGACACAAAAGACATAGTGCTTCTGTGTAGGGGTGAACACTGGGGTGTGGGTACATTTTTCTACACTTAAAACACCAACCGTGAGCCGGATAAACAGCAGTGGCCAGGTGTACTGTGCTTGTGTGCAGGGGTGAACACTGAGATGTGGGCACCTTTTGTAAACTTGAAACAATCTCTTTTAAGATTTTTCTGGGCTGCCGTAAAAGTAGCGGTTGTGTGCATGTGAGCGGGTAACATTACCGACTCGTTGGCTAGGAAATCGTTGGCTCCAAGGTCGCGGCTTTAAACAGTGCTTTCTGTACGTAATAAAAACTGTCCGTGAGCTCAGAGAGGAGAGCTGCATAAATTTTATCTGCTGCCAGAGCCGGGATTCGAACACAGGTCACTGGCGTGAAAGCTTAAGGGTTTTGCTACTGAGCCACAGGGGGAAACAATGTAAGCTTAAGTTAGTGCAAGCACATAAGAGATCATCACAGCTTCATGTTGGCGTTTGCATGTTAAATAACAGGCTCATTGCTGCAATATTGACCTATAGTCCGGCCTCGGCAGGACTAAAACACTCTTCTTTTTCCGCCGGTGAGATAAGTATGTGCATGGGGCGTGGGGTAGCTTTCTCGTAGCTTTGGTGTTAAGAGGTCTAGACTAGGCCGCAGGGTCGACATAGATAGCTCCTCACAGTGGACACAGCCTCCCGATGAAGTGCGAGGGCTGCGTGGTATGGGCCCACACAAAGAGCGCAAATCACATGGCGGTCTCCGATACTGATGCTTGTGCTCTTTTAGAGAGATGTGTGTGTCGCAGTGCCGAGCACACACATAGTAATAGCAAATAATATCAAAAAAGGATATGTCGCTGGATAGCATAGCTGACACGGAAGTCTTGAAAGTGGCTAGAAGACCACCGGCTTCCTCTTCGCGGTGTGAAGAGCTTCGCTGTAGAGATGAAAATCAGGCAAGCAGCCTCCGAGCCGTGCTTTTATACGCTAAGCCACACCCACTTGAGATGTCTCGCCAGGCTCAGTGGTAGGCTGCTGCAGTTGCCACAGAGCAGACAATGAGCACTCTAGACAGCCTGCTCAAGGTCTGCTAGCTGCTGGATTGCGTTGACAAAATACAACATTTTCGGCTTCAATATCTCGAGAAAAGGTGACTTTACCCCTAGTGTAAGCTAAACTTATGCAATACGAGAGAACCTCTCGTGAGAGAACCGCGTTATATTATTGTCGATAGACGTAGGGTATTAATGAGTTCTTGAATTATAATGTCTGACTCGAAATTAACCGAGAACTAACGGCTCACAAAACTTAAAGGAGTAGTTTTACTTTTAAAAAAACTTTTGCTGATAATTTACTCACCCCCATGTCATCCAAGATATCCATGTCAGTCTTTCTTCAGTCGAAAAGAAATTAAGGTTTTTGATGAAAACATTTCAGGATTTTTCTCCATACAATTGACTTCAATGGGAACCAAACGGTTCAAGTTCCAAAAGACAGTTTCAGTGCAAACTGTTCAAAGAGCTTTAAACAATTTCAGACGATGAATAAGGGTCTTATCAAGCCAAACAATTGCTCATTTAAAAAAACAAAAAACAAAAAAACAAAGTTTACATTTTATAAGCTGTTATCTCGGGACGCTTGTCCCGAGAAAAATGGCGTTCGTCAGGTCCAGTTTTGTATCCAGCCTCTCACGAGGCTTTCGGATGTCCCAACGCCTGTGATGAGAAGACCAACGCCTGTGAAGAGACGACTCAACACCGGCGATATGTTATGGCGCCGTTTTATATATAAACAATATTTATATTTAATATTTATATATAAACAATATGAATGTAAGCCATAGGAGAACTGGCCCCTGACAAGCCTGGGTTCTCCCAAGGTTTTTTTCTCCATCCAATCTGATGGAGTTTTGGCTTGCTTAGTTGGGGTTATTTAATATGTAATATTTAACAGTATTATTGATCTGTGTTGTACTACTTTCACGTTATTACTGAAGCTGCTTTGATACAATCTGTATTGTGAAAAGCTCTATATAAATAAATGTTACTTGACTTGACTTAAGCTCAAATGGTCGCCTTGCTCTGTTCTGTGATGCGCTTTCGTGATGCTCCTGTTCGAACTCGTTTATCAAAATGAACGAATCTTTTTTGTGTCATTTGGTTCATTCAACGAATGAAATGAATGAGTTGACTCTGGAAAAGTTTTGTTCATTTTGATGAACGATTTTGAATAGGGGAGTCACGAACGTGCATTACAGAACAGAGCAAGGCGACCATTTGAGCTTATAAAACTTAAAATTTGTTAATTTTTAAAAAAATGAGCGATCATTTTGCTTAATGAGACCCTTATTCATCGTCTGGAATCAATCAAAGCCCTTTGAACAGTTTGCTGTTTGCACTGAATCTGTCTTTTGGACCTTGAACCGTTTGGTTCCCATTGAAGTCCATTATATGGAGAAAATTAATGGAATGTTTTCATCAAAAACCTTAATTTCTTTTTGACTGAAGAAAGAATGACAAGAATATCTTGGATGACATGGGGGTGAGTAAATTATCAGCAAAAGTTTTTTTTTAAAGAGAACTACTCCTTTAAAGATAGCCTACACATTTAGCTGTAATCAGTATTTTTTATTAAAAACGTGAATAAATTACTATCAAAATGTTTGTTTTTATATATCTTATAGTTAGGAACAATTTTACTGCATATGCTAGCTAACATAAGAGTATTAAAAAGTGTAAGAATCTTTTAATTATTTGTATTAATGAATGTAGCAACAGACGGGTACTGCAGGCAGTAGAAAATTATATATATATATATATATATATATTTTTTTTTTTCTCAAAAGAAGGCTTCTAAAAGAATCTTAAATGGAACCGGAATAGTCAAAGGAAATCAGAATCATGAAATTCTTTAGAACACCAGAACGAACGGTCACCCGGAAGTCGCTGATATTATTACCGCGCTGTCAATACTTGGAGTAGTTGACTATTTGGAGCCAGAAAGTAAACTACAGCCTACTTACTAGTCCACATTTCTCTGAGCGCGTGTGATTGCCTCTCCTGCTGGAATGGACCCATTGCTGAGTTTGCCTTGTAGACTGCTGATTCTACTACCTCTTTTTGGAGTATGTTTGACGAAATTTGCAAGAGGTGAGTTATTATTTTATTTTTTCATGATTATATTTTTAAAGTTCATTTCCCCCCCCAAAGTTAGAGGGAATATGCCGCTTTATGGAGCACTTTTAGAAGTTCTTAAAGCATTGTAAGAACAGAAGACTTACTGTACTCTTCAATTTGTCGATTTTAATACAATAATGATTCAAGTGTAATAGTTAGCGTATTTGCTGTCAGAACTTTACCCTCACAGGCTCACACGGCCACTAAGGAAATGAAAGTCAAATCTCTTTAGAGGCACAAAGCTGCTTTGAATCTAACGTGACATAGGCTATACGGTTTTTATTTTAGATCATTGATTATAAAGATTGCAGGATTGCATTTGCATACTAAATACTAGGTTTCTTAAGGTGTACTGCCATTGAGAGTTCAAGTGCTCCGGTGGCTCAAAACTTTCAGCTCATAATCTTCAGGATTTATTTTTGTCAACAAAGGCTGTGTGTATTTACAACCACAATTTCTAAAGGAGATTACACTCAAGGATTGAAAGGATTTGACAGTAAAACAAGCATTTTGGGCCACTTTTGTTCTGACGGTTGTGATAAACATACATGACATTTTAACTTTTGGGAATTGGAATTTAATATTTAACTATTGTTAGGGAATTTAATATTTAACTATTGTTAGGTGTATTTAATTCCTACAATGCAAACAAAAGGGTCAGTAGATGTCTTGTAGATTTGAATGGCTATAGTTTTTGTTTTATTGCAATTATGTATTGTTTGATTATATTATAAGAGGAAATAGCTAAATGTAATTTACATGTTCTTAGTTTAGTTTTAGTGTAGGAAATCTGATTTAAAAAAGGGGAAAAATGTGATTTAGATATAGGCTACTGTAATAGTGTATTCCTTAACAATTTAATTGTTGGGCATTAAATGGGCATTTTATTTATACGGTATTTGTTTCTTATTTTCTATAGGCTAGAAGATAAGAGAATGCCATCCATTTGTCTTTGAAATAAGTGAAATATTCTAAACAATAGTATTAGCACTGTATAGTAACTGTACAGTATTTGTAAATTATACACCATAAGATATCATCACACATCTGCTAATCTTTTCGCCAGTGAAATGTCTTTATATTTGTATTTATTTATTCTTATATTTATTTATTTTAATTTTTGTCCCAAGCCCTTTTTAACTTTGTACCCTGACTAAAATACAGTACATGAAATGTATAAATAATAGCATGTTTTAATATATTCTTAGATATTAGGTATAGAGACAATTATACAGAAGATCTCATTATAGTTGCTCAATAAAATATCAATAAAATGTGATTAATTTGTTATTAATCTAATAGTTTCTTAAAACCCACCCCTTGGTGCCATAGATCTTTAATAATTTGCACAAGGAAACCGCTTATGCCAAAGACATGTTTTGTTCTTCTTGGCTGCAGTCCATGCATTGTGAACTTTTAGATGTGCTTAACGGCACCAATCAATATACTGGCTCTCAATCCTCCATAAATCTTTTTAGTGTCTCTGAATGCTTGGAGGTCACAATCTCAATTCAACACTATTGCTGTTATGATGAAAGGATTTGTTTTAATTAAATGATCTTTAAAATAGATTGGTGTATGTATGGGTGGAATGAAATATGCATGCTGCAAAATTCTGGCTTGTGCATATGGTAATGTTATAAAAATCCGCCTGCTTGACACTATTGCTTCATGTTTGCACAGATTTTACTTTGACTTACTTTAAAGTGATGTGATGCTTCTTTCCTTTAAAGCCTATAGTGTGATTAAATATGGTTTAAGAAGCCCATATCTAAACTTGATTGAGTGCCAGAATAATATCCATAAGACAAAATGTAACCATGATTTATTCAAAACATGGCTAGTTACCACTACATAGTTGTTGTTTTTTTATTACTTTTTGATATTTAATCTTTTCCCCCTGTTGTCACCAAACATAGTGCATAGAAATAGTAGTTCAATGTACTTTGAAAGATTCTTCTGACACATATGCTTTTTAGCCCTACATGAAAAATGTAGAAGGGAGTGTAGAGATGTTCCTTTCTGTGAATAATGGGGCCATACTCTAGTATCAGCTGTAACGCTCACATATAAAGAGACAACCAAATGCGACGTCCATTCTCAAGAATGGTGTGATGCAGAGATTAGACTTCTGATATGGCTCGACAGTGTGTGAACCAGTGATTTATTGGTAACCTTTTCAATGAACAAACATGTAATGAATTCTCGTTATGCTAATGACATAACTGACTGTGTTTTGAATATTATATGAAATAGGTTAACCTATGTAATGTAAATGAACCCAGTCTGAAGGGTTTTGTTTTTGTTTATATTTAAGAAACACTTTCTTAAATACGAGAGCCTCACGAGAGTTGTCGTTGACTCTGTATATTTTTTGGATATTCATTTTTATCATGAAATTTTACTGAACCCTGCAAAGCCATCCTAAGATGCTAGACGCATAATCCTCGCTAATTTTTTTTTTCTTTCTGGGTTAAATATACAGCTATTAGTCATGCCTCATTGAATGAGTCATTAGAGGAAGGCTTGTCTGAGCCGATAGCTCTATCTTTTTCCTGAGGCCTGACCCTTTTTCGAGACGAATGGTTTATTTCAGTGTTTTTTGAGACTCTTTGCAGAATTGCAGAAAGCTTCTCCCTTAAGGGACTTTTGAATGGTCTGGGGGTGCCATTTCTGAAGTCCCTGTGAAACATCAGGAGAGAGAAGCATGCTCTTTTTTTTCATTGGACTACGACAGAGACTGTATGCGCATCTGTCGTTGCTTACATTTTCCCCAGATGAATCCATGCAAGACTGATGTCATTAAATATAGACTTACATGGTTAAAAAAAATCATTATTCTCAAATGTGTTCATATGGCAGCTGTATTGCTCAAACAGTGTAAAAAGGCCAAGACATGTTGAGGAACCTTGTGTGGGTTGTAAAAAGATGGATGAGATTAAAGGCGCCTGCACACTTTTATACTGCGTCAGAGAATCCTGTAAATACATTGATTAATTTCAACAGTGTCACAAGAGCATAGAGGGAGAACGCAGGGTTTTTTACAAATGTGACAAATAGGCCTACACGATATTATCGTTTCAGCATCAACATCGCAATCCACGGTAGTCACATCGCAGGGTGTGTGATGTTAAGTTATAGAAATCGTACTGTTGAAACACTGCCAGAGGGACATTAAACAGGAAGTGTCTGTCCGAGCTCACAACAGGTTTTGCGAGGGAATGCAAAAGATTTAAATCTCTTAGGGGCTCCGTATAAAAGGCAAGTTAAATTTATTTAGTCACATGATAAAGAAAAGTTTAAAAAAATTATCAAATCATTTGGGAGAGATTTAAGTCATAGTGATGTATGACCAGTGCTAGGTAGATTACATGCAAATTGTATTCTGTTGCTGAAAATTGTAGTTAGTAATGTAATCTAGATTACACATTTTAGGTAACATATTCTGATTAATTTTAGATTACTTATGACCTCGTTCATCACTAGTTTTTGAATGGGATTATTGTGTATCGTATTTAAAAAAACAAACAAAAAAAAACATTACTTTTAGATTACTTTTGACCTAACTTGTTCATCACTTAGTTAGGGCCCGAGCACTAACAGTGCGAGGTCCCTATTGAAACTGTTAGGATTATTATTATTATTATTATTTTTTTTTTTTTTTTTTTTTTTCTGCAAAGTAAGTGCCATTTTCGGGGCCGCAACATGCTCAAAAACTCACCAAATTTGGCACGCATGTCAGGACTGGTGAAAAATTTCGTATTTTGTGGGTTTCGCGGATGGGCGGGGCAAAATGGCACGATAGCGCCACCTAGAAAATTGAAAAAAATTAGCCCCTCGTCCACGTTCAACCTACATGCACGAAATTTGGTGGGGACGTGTATCATATCAAGACGCACAAAAAAGCCTCAAGAACCCATACCCTAAACTCGACAGGATGTCCGCCATTTTGAATTTGGCGGCCATTTTTGGACGATTTACAGACTCCGTACTTTAACGAACTCCTCCTAGGGATTTAGTCGGATGGACTTAAAATTTCTGCTGTGCCTTCTAAAGGCATTGACGATGTAAAGTTGTGCTATCTGCGCGTTTTCGTCGATGGGCGTGTCCGTGGCGTCGAAGATTCGCCATGAAACAGGAAGTTGTAATAACTTGGCTGTAAATGCCCAGACCTGCACGAAATTTTACACATTTGACAAGAGTCCCGCCCTGAACAAATCTACATGCCGACATTCACCCTAAGTCATAGCGCCACCTGCTGGCAACAGGAAGTGACCTTTAACGTAGCAGCCCCCGCCATATGTTTGACCGACATGTACGAAATTTCTGTGGTACATCTAGCATGACCAGACGTACAAAAAAGCCTCAAGAACCCATACCCTAAACTCGACAGGAAGTCCGCCATTTTGAATTTGGCGACCGATTTGGGACGATTTACACACTCCGTACTTTAACGAACTCCTCCTAGGGAATTAGTCGGATCAAATTCACATTTCTGCTGTACCTTCTAAAGGCATTGACGATGTAAAGTTGTGCTATCTGCGTGTTTTCGTCGATGGGCGTGTCCGTGGCGTCGATGATTCGCCATGAAACAGGAAGTTGTAGTAACTTGGCTGTAAATGCCCAGATCTGCACGAAATTTTACACATTTGACAAGAGTCCCGCCCTGAACAAATCTACATGCTGTCATTCACCCACAGTAATAGCGCCACCTGCTGGCAACAGGAAGTGACCTTTAACGAAGCAGCCCCCTGTCGCATGTTTGACCGACATGTACGAAATTTCTGTGGCACATCTACCATGTCCAGACGCACTGAAAAGTCTCTTGGAGCGATGCCCTAAACTCAACAGGAAGTCGGCCATTTCGAATTTTACCGCCATTTTTGGATGATTTACTCATTACGTACTTTAACGAACTCCTCCTAGGGCTTTCGTCGGATTGACTTCACATTTCTGCTGTGCCTTCCAAAGGC